AAATATGAGTTCTTCAGTTGGGATTATGACATTCCCAATATATGGGAACATAAAAGCCATGTTCCAAACCACCAACCAGTCATGGGTTTATGAATCCTTATTACTGGACTCACAACCATACCCCTAATATTGGCAATCTGCCCCACTTTCGACTACGGCATTTTTTTGGAGGTTTCCTAAAGTGGGAGTACCCCCAAATCATCTAATTCTAACAGTATTTTCTATTGTAAACCATCCATTTTGGATTACTCCCCATTTATGGAAACCTCCATATTTTTTAGGCCTATTTTTCAGGCCTATGTAAGGGAATATACACCCAAAATATGGCCAAACATATGGTACAGTACCTTCATTTTATGATCCTAAAAATCCCATTGAATTATGTATATCACCAGTTACATAGATATGAACATATTATATAGTGAATTATGGTAATATTATATATAGCACCAATGGGTGCTACCCAGCTCTTATTATGTAAATATCCAGTTATATAGATCCAAAATGGGTAACAACATGTACCTACAATGCCTGGGATGCACCCTAAAGGAAGCGAAGGCTCAAGACCAAGCACAGCAGGTTCAAATGTTCGATGACCATCCTGGGACCACAGCAACCGCAGGCTAACCGGGCCCCAAGGTGAAATAATAATCCCTATTAAATGGTATAATAAACCAGCACAATAATGTATAATCAAATGGTATATGGTATAATAATCAATATTAATGGTATATGTATAAATCTGGATGGTTCAGAATGGGCCCTTGATCTAGAAAAAATGGATTATAGATACAATAACAATCCCTATTTTCAACCAGTTAATAATGGAATCATACCAATCAGCTATAATTCCACTACAAGTGCTTGGTATATTTAATCCAATACAAATGGTTTGACATAAATCCGCCGACCCCGGCCTTCGCCAAGGCAGGGGCGGCGCCTGGGACCACCGCAGGTGTGGAACTTGTCTTTCTTAGCAACAGGCATCCCAAGGCCACATCCATGGCTTTTTATGGGCGTCCACGCTTGCCGTTTGCCAGCCCTAAAACGCTCCAAACCCCTAAAACCCCTCAAAGGCACTTCCATGGCTTCTTATGGGCTTCCAGCGCAGGCAAAAGCCCACATCCATGGCTTTTTATGGGCGTCCAAGCTTGCCGTTTGCCAGGCCTCAAACCCTCCAAACCCTCCAAACCCTCCAAACCCCTAAAACCCTAAAACCCCTAAAAAGCCACTTCAATGGCTTCTTATAGGCTTCCAGCGCCCACATCCATGGCTTCTTATGGGCGTCCAAGCTTGCCGTTTGCCACGCCTAAAACCCTCCAAACCCTCCAAACCCCTAAAACCCCTAAAAGGCCACTTCAATGGCTTCTTCTGGGCTTCCAGCGCAGGCAAAAGCCCACATCCATGGCTTTTTATGGGCGTCCAAGCTTGCCGTTTGCCAGGCCTAAAACGCTCCAAACCCTCCAAACCCCTAAAACCCCTAAAAGGCCACTTCAATGGCTTCTTATAGGCTTCCAGCGCCCCCATCCATGGCTTCTTATGGGCGTCCAAGCTTGCCGTTTGCCAGGCCTAAAACCCTCCAAACCCTCCAAACCCCTAAAACCCCTAAAAGGCCACTTCAATGGCTTCTTCTGGGCTTCCATCGCAGGCAAAAGCCCACATCCATGGCTTTTTCTGGGCGTCCAAGCTTGCCGTTTGCCAGGGCTAAAACCCTCCAAACCCTCCAAACCCCTAAAAGCCACTTCAATGGCTTCTTCTGGGCTTCCAGCGCAGGCAAAAGCCCACCTCCATGGCTTTTTCTGGGCGTCCAAGCTTGCCGTTTGCCAGGCCTAAAACCCTCCAAACCCCTAAAACCCCTAAAAGGCCACTTCAATGGCTTCTTATGGGCTTCCATCGCAGGCAAAAGCCCACATCCATGCCCCTACAAGGCCACTTCGCAGGCAAAAGCCCACATCCATGGCTTTTTCTGGGCGTCCAAGCTTGCCGTTTGCCAGGCCTAAAACCCTCCAAACCCTCCAAACCCCTAAAACCCCTAAAAGGCCACTTCTTATAGGCTTCCAGCGCCCACATCCATGGCTTTTTCTGGGCGTCCAAGCTTGCCGTTTGCCAGGCCTAAAACCCTCCAAACCCTCCAAACCCCTAAAACCCCTTAAAGGCCACTTCACCTAAAACCCTCCAAACCCCTCAAACCCCTACAAGGCCACTTCAATGGCTTCTTCTGGGCTTCCATCGCAGGCAAACGCCCACATCCCTCCAAACCCTCCAAACCCCTAAAACCCCTAAAAGGCCACTTCAATGGCTTCTTCTAGGCTTCCAGCGCCCACATCCATGGCTTCTTATGGGCGTCCAAGCTTGCCGTTTGCCAGGCCTAAAACCCTCCAAACCCTCCAAACCCCTAAAACCCTACAAGGCCACTTCAATGGCTTCTTCTGGGCTTTCATCGCCGGCAAAAGCCCACATCCATGGCTTTTTCTGGGCGTCCAAGCTTGCCGTTTGCCAGGCCTAAAACCCTCCAAACCCTCCAAACCCCTAAAACCCCGAAAAGGCCACTTCAATGGCTTCTTATAGGCTTCCATCGCAGGCAAAAGCCCACATCCATGGCTTTTTCTGGGCGTCCAAGCTTGCCGTTTGCCAGGCCTAAAACCCTCCAAACCCTCCAAACCCCTAAAACCCCTACAAGGCCACTTCAATGGCTTCTTCTGGGCTTTTATCGCAGGCAAAAGCCCACATCCATGGCTTTTTATGGGCGTCCAAGCTTGCCGTTTGCCAGGCCTAAAACCCTCCAAACCCTCCAAACCCCTAAAACCCCTAAAACCCCTAAAAGGCCACTTCAATGGCTTCTTATAGGCTTCCAGCGCCCACATCCATGGCTTCTTATGGGCGTCCAAGCTTGCCGTTTGCCAGGCCTAAAACCCTCCAAACCCTCCAAACCCCTAAAACACCGAAAAGGCCACTTCAATGGCTTCTTATAGGCTTCCAGCGTGCCATTGGCCAGGCATTCGCAACCAACAGGCATCAGGCATCAGGCGTTCAAGCCTGCCGTTTACTACTTTTTTCCTTCACAACGCCGTCCTTGACAGAAAACTTGTTCCCACACACCGTTCGATGGTCAATTTGCCCTGTCTTCACGTCACTGGCCACATTCCCTTTGCAAGCGGGGCAAACGTAAACATACGCTTTTTCCTTCACAACGCCATCCTTCACAGAAAACTTGTTCCCACACACCGTTCGATGGTCAATTTGCCCTGTCTTCACGTCACTGGCCACATTCCCTTTGCAAGCGGGGCACACGTAAACATACGCTTTTTCCTTCACAACGCCATCCACGCAATTCACGCAACAAGATTTACCAATGGCAGTCTTGCCGCATTTTTTTATACGACATCCGGGGGTCGACTTCGTGGCCATCATCCACCCAGCGAGAAACGCCGGGTTCCCGGACCTGACCGATGTCTTTTTTCTTCTGGGAAAGCTCTGCGGTTACTGCGTCCCAACTGCTGCGTGGGCTCTGCATGTGAGCCGTGCATTACGGTCTCACGCATGTGCGTTTGAAGCAAATGACGCAAGTGCTGCAGACTGTGGGCTATCAAGACAGTCCCTAGCAACCTTTCGCACAAATAAAGCATGCGTAGCTGCAGCGATCTCAACAGGAGACATGCGCATTAGAAGGTCTTGGATGTCTTGGGGTGTTTCACAGTCTTTCATCCTGGTGGCGTCGCCACAGTGACGTCATGAGTATTCCCCAATTTCTATCATCATTCCACTTTTGCGAATGGAATGCATGTCATGTACTATATATATATACATACGTATGTTTAACAATGTTTAGGCCTCGCCGTTTGCTGGGCCTCTTGAGTGGCTCTATGTCTGCGCACTTCTTCCTCCACCCTTGAAAAGGGGTCGGCGGCACCAGGGCGTTAGCCCATTTATATGAATATCTTGCCATCATTCTTTAAGATCATTTTGTGGCCAATTATTTCGTAGCATACTTGGTGGTTTGTTGGTTAAAGATTTGACTGGTGTGAGTCCACAAATAGCTTGGGATCCGACTGAAAGCACAGCAAAGCACGGCAACAATAGGGTGAATGGACATCGGGGCAAATCTCTTGCACCTCAGCTAACAATCCAAAGAGCAAAACCTCTCTGAAGCAGAAATGATGAAGTCCGAAGTTCTGAATAAGAACTTGGATGACATTTTGGAACAGTACGCCGGAATACAAATGGCATGACAAACGCAGGTATGGTTTATGGCAATTTCTGGGGCGACGAGCTGGTCCGGCAACGTGCTTGATGTTGTGACAGCAGCGATCTCTGAGCTAACCACTCTCATTCTGTCTGCTCAGGATACAGCTGGGCAATGTCCACTGAACACCTTGGAAAATATTGGAAGGCACCGAGAGGAACTTGGTGAACAATGTGAAACGCTCAAATTTGGTATCTGCTTCCAATAAAATCAATAAAACAATGGTAGATAGCTGAATTGTGTCATCCAAAAACTCTGCAAGTCCAACCTTTGCCTCTTTCATCCTAACACCTAAGTTCCTTTCAAAAGACTGTCTGTTTGAAACACTCTGAATCTGGATTGTTGGGACAGAAAAAGTATATAGCACCCTGTATATACATAGAGACTCTATGACTCTATGTGGATGTGTGCAGGCCTGTTACAGATAGAGGATGATAGAGGCAGCAACATTCGGTTGAAGCTGACTGGAGTCAATTCACATCTGCTGAAATAATACTTAGTCAGTCGTTAAAACGACAGTCACATCTCTCGCTACATCCCAAACTTACTCAAACACCAAGTTTGGATCAGAACCTTTTCTTCCTCAGGCACGCAGTTTTCCACACACGCAGTGCATCTGGTCCATATGAAAGTCAAACGTTAGGGACATGTGGAATGATACTTTCCAAACTGTTGCACTTTGCTTTGGAACTGTACAGGCACCATGCCCCACCATTGCTGCCTGTCATGCCGCCATTTCAGCGATCATACTCATCGGCTACCATACCGAATGCAAGAAAAAAACATAGTACATGATTGCTTTGCCATGATGGTACCATTCCCAATGCTGCTGCAAGCCATCAGCTCCTCGATGAAAAACAACTGCCTGAGTTATGTTCCAGGCCCCACCAGAGGTGCTCAACGCCAACAGAAGCAATGCAGTAGAAAGGAGAGGTTGAGCAGATACTGTGAGCTTGTCAATGGCCCGAAGACTGCGCCAGTCTGAAAGAGCCTCCTGTATCACAGTAACGAGCATAGAAGCTGCCAAAGCGCCACCAATGACCGGAGTCGCAGCAGCTGCCAGCAGAGTGGCAAGTTTGAGGAACACCACGGGGGCCAAAGACCAAGCTTGGCTGACAGCCAGTTCTGTCACTCGCAGGAATAGGTTCCCAAAGAAGTCGAACGGAACAGTTCGCCGCCCATACGACAACAAACAAAACCAATAAAGACTTCTGGCGAAAATGCACAGCCGCTTCCGGTTTCGAAATTCAAGCTGCTGATGTGGTGCAGGTGCAGGTAGAACATCGGAATCTCCATGCAATCCTTTGGTCAGCAAAGGCTGCGACGCAGCTATGCCCTTAACTGCCCCGTATGGCACGCTGAATATTTTGCAATAGTAGTTCACAAGGGATAGGACCAAGTTGTTCATCTTCACATGACTAAAGTATAGCAGCAAAAGCGCCGCACCCAAGGCTGTCAAAGTTGCGAAAGGCTGCAGTTGGTAATAGCAAGCACCATTACCTTCAGGCACCCTGGAGACAAAGACGTGGGTCACAGCAGCTGCCCAGTATAAGGCTGCATCGGATGCCAGCAACTGAAAAGCCCATGAAAGCACCCCGATCACTAGTGTAAAGTCTTCTGCTACATCTGCCAGCAAAGCCCAATCATGGGCAAGTTTCATCAGAGTCCACATGACGAGGACAAAAAGGTAGACAGTAATGGCACAGCCCTTGTCCCGATTATCCTCAATCTGCTTCCGGACGTTGTCTGTTTCGCACACAAGCTCGTTGACGTGGGCCGGGTTGGGAAACTCTTTGGTATCAGATGCTGACCAAATCGAATCGAGGATAGGCGGATAGGTTTGCATGAGCCCCCACCAAGTGCCTTGGGGATGTAGAGCCGAGAAGTTGCCACCATTCTCAACAGATATAAAGGCTGGGAAGTCCCAAGACGGAAAACTTGAGTTTTTGAGTTGTAATTTTGCTGCAGTGGTTTCGGGCACTGTTTCGGTCCTAGAATAATGAATGTTGTGGCATGGCTTGGTGCAGGCATAAAGATCTGTCATCGGATCTGGCTTGTAGTTCACCACAGCAAGGAAAGGAGCCCATCCGAGGCAAGTAAGAACCAAACATTCGATGTATCGCGACAAGCCCATTGCGCAAGCGGTGCGGTACAGACTATGTATCTATGGAATGAGAATGAGGAATGCGATGCTCGAAGCAGAGAAACTGTGAGCTATAATTGAGCAGCATTGGCGATGGTGATGAACAGGTGCGTGGTGAACATGAACGTCTTCTATGTCATGAAAAATGTCTGAAGCACTCAACACGGGTCAATGGGCAGCTTGACCCCGAAAATTAGATCAGCAACCAACAGCAAGTGTCACAAATGGATGCTAAGCCTTTCATCTCAGGCCTTTGACATCAGTTTGAAACGCCAAATCATTTAAATCCAAGGAGATTTCAACATGGTCAATCTGTCAATCCAACATGTTCAAGTCATCAGCTCCCCAAAGATACACTCCTAAGGTCCTCAATTCAAACAAGTGGCAGATGGCATCAAGCTCTCATCTCGACAAGCGTTGGCTCACTGAAAAGCACGAGGATGTTCTGGAAATTACTGGAATCTTTGGGTAGCCGTGGGCTCTAATGACCTGTTCATGTGGTAATTCTGGCTGTGCTCATATGGTGGGGTCTACGTACCTGGTTGTGGATTTGAAAGTATAGGTCAAACAATGGTCCATTCATCACATGTAGGAATTTGACCATGTTTTTTTCATTTTGTTGGGACGCTGACTGCTTCCTGGTGCCAAAATTCAAGCATTGCAGGGATGCAGGAGTGCATTGTGTCAAAGATACTTTGGATTCCTTTGGATGTTAACATCCAGTGAAGAACTAATTAGGCCACCAATCGGTTGTTCCAGACACTTGCGTCCTTGTGCGAATGCTCTAAATGCGCCGGTCTGTCGTCTGTCGCTGCAAGAGTGTCAAAAGCGTTTGTCGGCGCCGCGCTGCCGCACCGGCACTTTTCTTGAAATCCCTAGGGCACTTCCGTGACCCCAACGGAAAAACAAATCAGCAATCTTTGCAATGGGTCCCTAGTATCTCTAGCATTATGACCCCGTGTAGAACAGAGAAAGTGGATTTCAGCAAAAAAATAAAAAAAAAAAAACACAAAAACAAAAACAAAAACAGAATCACCAAAAAAACAAAATCGACAGGAAGAATCACCAGAAGAAACAAAAAAAACAAGAAAAAAAACAAAACCTGCATTTTCCGCAGTTTTTGTTTTTTTTTATTTGTGTTTGTTTTATTCTTGTTTTTTTTGTTTTTGTCTTGTTTTTTCCTTGGTTTTGGTTTTCTAGTTTGTTTTTTTTGTTTGCTCTGGTTTTGTTTTTGTTTTTTTGTTTTTTATTTTTTTTGTCAAACCCTATATTCTCTGTGTTGTTGGACTCATAACTCTAGCAACGAAAGAAGAATTCACCAGTGGCATGCATGGCATCTGGCTTAAATCTGGGTTTCACAGATGCAACAACACTCTTGGTATGTCGGACCAACATGACAATCCGTCATGACATTTGTCAGGGCATGAAGAATTGGGAAGAGGCGTCATGAATTATAGTCTAATAGACATCACACCTGGGAAGGAAGGAAAGTAAAGCCAGCCTTAGTTCCAAAGAAATTTCCGTGGAACAAACACACAAACAACAACCAGAAAGACTGCCTCCACAGCACAGGACAAGGAATCGGACAGTCCCACGCCACCCCTGTCCCTCACCCACACTCCGAGATTCGAACACCCTACTGCAGCCACTACTTGCCAGACCCCACTTCCCACTTCGAATGGGTGAACTTAGCCGACTTAGCCTCTCGGAATGACATTCTACAATCAGACAATCAGCACCAAGGACCAGCAAAGCTGCTCACTACACTCAGAAGGACATGGAAAAGACTCTATCATCAAGAAACATGAGTAACAGAAATGCCATATCATGACATGCTATAACAGGACTCATTCTATGGCTGGAACAATCAGTTTGAAGATGTTCTTTGCCTTTGGAATGAAAACTTGCCGGTGACACTTGGCAGGGTCGTTCTCAGAGTCATTGACAGACTCGTTGTCATACTGATCCAAGTGCTCCAAAGCCATGTTGCCCGTTCGGGCATCAGCGCCATGGCCATGCATTGACGACTTATTGTCAGTGTCATTCATCGTGTCGTTGCCACTTTCTCCACTTTCTCCACTTTCTCCACTTTCTTCAGTCTCCATGTTCAGCAAAGAACCGTTCCACTCCGTCATATTTGCCATTGCGGACATGTTCTCGGCTTTGTCCATCATCTCCACTGCCAAACTCCAGGTTCCATTGCTGAGGTTGCTGTTATTGAGATCTGGCTCCAAAATGTCCCGGTCCTCGAATCATCAGCAAAACCTCCCTTTGCTATGCACACCGGTTGAGACATTTAAACATTTCTCCATTTCACTGCCAATACTCATGAATATATATGAATATCTTGCCATCATTCTTTAAGATCATTTTGTGGCCAATTATTTCGTAGCATACTTGGTGGTTTGTTGGTTAAAGATTTGACTGGTGTGAGTCCACAAATAGCTTGGGATCCGACTGAAAGCACAGCAAAGCACGGCAACAATAGGGTGAATGGACATCGGGGCAAATCTCTTGCACCTCAGCTAACAATCCAAAGAGCAAAACCTCTCTGAAGCAGAAATGATGAAGTCCGAAGTTCTGAATAAGAACTTGGATGACATTTTGGAACAGTACGCCGGAATATAAATGGCATGACAAACGCAGGTATGGTTTATGGCAATTTCTGGGGCGACGAGCTGGTCCGGCAACGTGCTTGATGTTGTGACAGCAGCGATCTCTGAGCTAACCACTCTCATTCTGTCTGCTCAGGATACAGCTGGGCAATGTCCACTGAACACCTTGGAAAATATTGGAAGGCACCGAGAGGAACTTGGTGAACAATGTGAAACGCTCAAATTTGGTATCTGCTTCCAATAAAATCAATAAAACTTGGTTGGGTTTAGAAGGGCTGTGATCTTTTCAGTAAAGGAGTATACAAACAATGAACTCACAAAAACAAAAAATAAGAAAAAACAAAATAAAACCAAATAAAAAGAAAAAATGAAGCTAAAAACAAAAACAAAACAGAAACATTTTTGGAAAAATGTTTGATATTTTTGTGCTTTTCTGTCAATTTTTGTTGAATTAAGTTTCGCTGCAGTTGGAATCTTTGCTTATATCATCCTGTCCCAACACAGCTGCAAAGGCAAAGGCTGACAGTTTTTTTCCTCAGCAGAGCCATGCGCAAAGAGTCCTTGCTCTGGCTGCTACATGATTTGAAAAAAGAACTACCGGCTGCTTTGAAGACCTTGCCGCTCATCATCAAACTACCCGCTTTGAAAGCGTCTCTACTTGCCTTTTCTAGCTCTCTTGTAGATTCGCTCATCCAGAGCACTCATCGCGATCTCGGCCTGAGGCTTGCTTTCCATGGGAGCAGTTGAATCCAAAGCTTCCATCGCCCCAAGGGCAAGGGCCATCTCCTGCACAATGTATGGGCACAAAAACAGCCACCACCTAATTGCCATGAACCCACTTAAATACACGAACGAGGGACGCCAAACTCACGGCTCACAAAATCTAAGTCTTAAAAAATCAAGGGGGCGAGAAAACAAAGGAGGAAGAGAAGGAATATCAAGACCGCATTGGCCACGCTATCAACAGTCAACAGTCAACAAACATTCCAACACGAGTCCTCGGTCTGTGACAAAGCCAACTGAACTGCTTGCCCGGATAGAGTCCGATCTTTCCAATTTAAAGCAGCCAGCGCACATTGTACCATAGCAAGGACTACTGGCAATGCCATGGCGTTGCCTGCCAGGTCCATCATGAGCGCTTCAGAAGGATGCCATTGCTGCGCCAAAGGCATGGTCTCCATGCGCGCTGCCAAAATTTGCAAGAAAGGTTGGACTGGAAAGCCTTGCATGAGCAAAGCCTCTCGCCCAAGGACTAGGCGATTCTTTGCCTCACACCAAAGAACCATCCTTGGAAGCACTGTGCTCATGACATGCTTGCTGGAATCTTGTCTCCAGGTGTTCGAATTTCCTCGCACGATTGACTGAGACAAATCTCGGAACACAATGTACGGGGTGCATTGCTGCAGCAAAGACAAAGCGTCTTGCTCACGGTCACCCAAAGTCTGGTACCACTGATTGGCGGCCAATTTTGCTGGGACAGCTTGCCCACAACGCACCCGGTGATTTTGGGCAAACTGCATGTGCTGCTCGACCCAACTCTGAGGGGGAGCGGGTGCTCCTTGTTTCTTCTCAGCGTCCTTCTCCCTTTGTTTCGCCCGCTTGTCTAAGCGCAACCCGAGTTCCAGTTGAACTGGTTCCGAACTTTCCTGGAAAAGGATCTGGGTCACACAAGGCCCGCCTCGAAGGCAACCAAGCAGCAAAGCCCGGAAGGTGGCAAAAGCAGCTGTCAAAGGCCTCAATCTTTGCCTCCTCCAGTGGGCCGTATTCAGGCTTCCAGTTGTCCACCTCAACAAAGAACATGTCAGGGGCTTCAAACTCGCAGCCGTGCTCGTCCTTGGTCACCAGTTTCTCTTTTGCGTCCCGGACAGAGTCCTTATCATCTGCATTGCGGAGCCTGTGCTCGTTTGGGTTTGCATTGTGCTTCTTGATCCATTCGTCCAGACTGGCCAGGAAAACGGCATGGTCAACTCTCTTCTCTGCGATCATCTTCACATATTTGGCTATGTTTCCGTACTTGTGGGAAAAGCCTAAGAGCTTCCAGACATTCCGGCACAAACTACACAACTTGGACTGGGGAACCCGGTACGTGACACCAGAGGCCTTGTCAAAGACTTTCCTGTAGGAACTCCATGGCCTACGGCTGCCATGCTTGTCATGCAGGTGGCTGCTTGTCAGGGGGCTTTCTGAGACACTGGTCTTCTGGCACAAAGCACAGGTACAAGGCTTGCTCAGATCAAAACTGATCTGCTCTGCTACCGGTCCAGATGCCTCTGAACCCTTGTCATCAAAACCGCCTTCAGACAGACCTCCAAAGTCTGACCCAGGAAGACTGGCCATTCGGCACGGACCTGCCAACCCTTTGGGTTGCAAAAGCAAAAGGAAAACAACTACAACTCACACAGCTTGAGCCTAAGCAGGAAGGACGACCTCTGGCAGACAAGCCTAAGGAGTCGAGACAACCAGGTGGCAACTCAGGAGCTTCAGGCTTCCCCTGCACAGAACCAAGTTCGAACTGCTAACTTCAAGCAGCAGCTGACAACTGCAAGGTTTTGCTGCACGAGAGTGCCTGTCGCGCACTGTTCAGGTGAAACTTGTCTGCTCTGTCTCTAGTCAGCTCTGGCAATGGGCTAAAACCAATCCAATCACCTCGGAGCAGGCTGGAACAGAATTGTAAATCTACATTTTTTTTGGCGAAAGCTATTTTCATCTTTTTTGATATATTTTTATTTTTATTGAATTTTCAAACTTTTTTGAAAAACCGGAATCTCGCACTTAACCACAAGTTAAGTGTATGAAAACAGGAGATAAGTGAATGAAAACGGAAGATAAGTGTATGATTTTCAAACATGAAAAATTCTTTGTTTTTCTTAATCGTTTTGAAAATTTAAATTGTTTTTAGAAAAACAATAAAATATCAAAATATCTGATAATGTTACTACTTTGGGTTGCCTTTGGCAAAACCTCCCCGCAAACCAAAATCCAAACCAACATGATCACCACTACTTGTTTGATTGCTGCAAAAGGATAAGAAGAAGACGCTGTGTCTGACTGTACTGTCGAAGAGGTCAAGGATTGGAAAGAAACCTGGGTGATATGAATGTAGATCTCAATGGTCCATCGTACTTGAACATACTGCCACCGCTCGCTACCAAAGATCTATCGCGAAGATATTTCGAAAGCCAGGTCACAACCACACGCAAAACTTAAACAACGTCAGAAACTATAAAGCGGAAAGTCACTTCAAAGGACTCAAAGACTTGAGGCAGTATATTGTCGAATTTTCTCGTCCATCTCTTCTTCTGAGGGGCCTTCGGCAAAAGCTTGTAAGCCAGATCCTCCCATGGCCACATGATCTGACCGAGCGTTCTGGACAGAAAGCTCTGCATCATTGAGCCCGGCTAGAAGCCACCGTTTCAATCGTAATATGCAAGCGCTGTGGCTCAACCGGCCCATGCTCAAAGCTTTCTTGCACCTCGAGCCACTTCCGTCTCCTCTGTTGTGGTGCAAGCCGCAAATGGCTCCCCACCCGGTTTGTCCTCCTTGCGGCACAATGGGCGACAGCAAGAAGGGTCCCCAACGCACCCCTCGCTTTTGTACCACTCTCTTTGACTTCGCGGACTGGACAGCCCGGCCAGAGGCCGCGTCAACAGCAATGCCTGGTGGGTTTTGCTCTGCCCGGTGGGACACCGTATCTTCGTCGAAACATAGACACAACTCAACCAATTGTGCGGCATGTGTCTGCGCTTGCTTCCACTCATCCAAAACTGCTGCCGGAGTGGAATCCAAAATAGACAGTTCTTCAGATATGTATCGTGTGACTTGGCGCTTCAAACCTTTCAACAAGTTAGACTTGTTAAGGGCCTTTGCCACTGAGAAATTCCCGCCGAGCACACCAGTGAGTTTGCTCAGTTGTTCGATCACGTTACCTGTACGATGTTGAACACAAAGAACAGGTAGGAAAAGGTGTTCCTGCGGCAATGACTGGTCTAAAAACCGCAACAAACGCACATTTGCAGCATGAGCGTCGCACGTTGTAAGTGTGCATTGAAACCGGGCAGGACAAATTGACTTGAAACCACCAGGCCCGCTCGAAAGCGCACTCCACATTGTCGAAGCATTCATGTTTGGAAACAAGGCTTGTGGAGGTCGGAAAATGTGTTCTTCTGTGACATCCCCTGAGGAGCCATAGGTCCAATGCCCATGTGAACACAAGACCGAGGTGGCAGTTGCCGCTTCGTGCTGAAGGCTCAATGAAAACGTAGACTCATCAAACATAAGGCTCCGAATCCAAAAATCAAGGCTACCCTGGGACCCAGTTTGCTGAACTAAAGCCATCCCATGATTTTGCCCTTCCAAGATGGCTGAGGCAGTGACAAACCGACACCTTCCAGCATGCTTTGGCCCACCTCCTTCAATGCTGCTGGCGATTTGTCTGGAAGTTGCTGACTCTGAGCTGAATGCAGCACGCAAAACAGCGGGCGCGGTCCACCGTTTCCATTTACCTTTGCCTTTCTCTGTTTTTCGCTCAAAGTCATTTGCTGAAGCTGGAAACGCAGGGTCGGCCCCTCTAGCACGGCCACTGGCATTGTATTCATTTGCCTGTTGGTCCACCAAGCTTTGTTTTTTCTTCAACCTTTGCTTTCTGGTTCGCTTCTGTTTGGCGTGTCTTAGCAAACCCGGTCGAAGACCTGCCCCAAACCTCTGCCGCGCAGTAGCTCTATTACTTGGCCTCGGCTCTGAACATGTCTCTTCGTTGGGATGTGTATCTTCGATGATGTTTAAAACATCATCCAGACTCAACTCCGCCATTGCCCATGCTGACAACACAAAAGATTAAGCCAAACAGCTGCCGGCAACTCTTGGGCACAACCAAGCACTGGTCATGTCAGCATCAACTGGCGCTGTGCGCAATCAAGTTGGTATTAGTTTTGTTTTGCCCTGCCCTGGTGGATACATCTTTCTCCTTGTATGTGTCCTGAATATGTCCGCACTTGTGCCATGATTCTGTACTTCCAAGCTATGGCCATTTTTGATCTGGTACTCCCAACTAGCTACAGATGACCCAAAGATCCAGCAAACATATGTATGTTCACCAATGCATTTCTTGTATGAACAAAAATACCTTGGAAAAATCCAAGATATTTTATAAAAACATGATATTATTAAATGTATTTTATTGATATTGTTTTAGATTTATTGTTTTGTATTGTTTTATATTGTTTTATTGTTTTAATGTTTTTTTGTTTTTTGTTTTTTGATGTTTTCATTTGTGGTGGTTTACAGGGGTGTGCCTGTGAGGGCTCCCACAGGCCTTCTTAGATTCAATCAAAATAAAACTATGGTAGATAGCTGAATTGTGTCATCCAAAAACTCTGCAAGTCCACCCTTTGCCTCTTTCATCCTAACACCTAAGTTCCTTTCAAAAGACTGTCTGTTTGAAACACTCTGAATCTGGATTGTTGGGAAAGAAAAAGTATATAGCACCCTGTATATACATAGAGACTCTATGACTCTATGTGGATGTGTGCAGGCCTGTTACAGATAGAGGATCATAGAGGCAGCAACATTCGGTTGAAGCTGACTGGAGTCAATTCACATCTGCTGAAAAAATACTTAGTCAGTCGTTAAAACGAGTCGCATCTCTCGCTACATCCCAAACTTACTCAAACACCAGGTTTGGATCAGAACCTTTTCTTCCTCAGGCACACAGTTTTCCACACACGCAGTGCGTCTGGTCCATATGAAAGTCAAACGTGAGGGACATGTGGAATGATACTTTCCAAATTGTTGCACTTTGCTTTGGAACTGTACAGGCACCATGCCCACCATTGCTGCCTGTCATGCCGCCATTTCAGCGATCATACTCATCGGCTACCATACCGAATGCAAGAAAAAAACATAGTACATGATTGCTTTGCCATGATGGTACCATTCCCAATGCTGCTGCAAGCCATCAGCTCCACGATGAAAAACAACTGCCTGAGTTATGTTCCAGGCCCCACCAGAGGTGCTCAACGCCAACAGAAGCAATGCAGTAGACAGGAGAAGTTGAGCAGATACTGTGAGCTTGTCAATGGCCCGAAGACTGCGCCAGTCTGAACGAGCCTCCTGTATCACAGTAACGAGCACAGAAGCTGCCAAAGCGCCACCAATGACCGGAGTCGCAGCAGCTGCCAGCAGAGTGGCAAGTTTGAGGAACACCACGGGGGCCAAAGACCAAGCTTGGCTGACAGCCAGTTCTGTCACTCGCAGGAATAGGTTCCCAAAGAAGTCGAACGGAACAGTTCGCCGCCCATACGACAACAAACAAAACCAATAAAGACTTCTGGCGAAAATGCACAGCCGCTTCCGGTTTCGAAATTCAAGCTGCTGATGTGGTGCAGGTGCAGGTAGAACATCGGAATCTCCATGCAATCCTTTGGTCAGCAAAGGCTGCGACGCAGCTATGCCCTTAACTGCCCCGTATGGCACGCTGAATATTTTGCAATAGTAGTTCACAAGGGATAGGACCAAGTTGTTCATCTTCACATGACTAAAGTATAGCAGCAAAAGCGCCGCACCCAAGGCTGTCAAAGTTGCGAAAGGCTGCAGTTGGTAATAGCAAGCACCATTACCTTCAGGCACCCTGGAGACAAAGACGTGGGTCACAGCAGCTGCCCAGTATAAGGCTGCATCGGATGCCAGCAACTGAAAAGCCCATGAAAGCACCCCGATCACTAGTGTAAAGTCTTCTGCTACATCTGCCAGCAAAGCCCAATCATGGGCAAGTTTCATCAGAGTCCACATGACGAGGACAAAAAGGTAGACAGTAATGGCACAGCCCTTGTCCCGATTATCCTCAATCTGCTTCCGGACGTTGTCTGTTTCGCACACAAGCTCGTTGACGTGGGCCGGGTTGGGAAACTCTTTGGTATCAGATGCTGACCAAATCGAATCGAGGATAGGCGGATAGGTTTGCATGAGCCCCCACCAAGTGCCTTGGGGATGTAGAGCCGAGAAGTTGCCACCATTCTCAACAGATATAAAGGCTGGGAAGTCCCAAGACGGAAAACTTGAGTTTTTGAGTTGTAATTTTGCTGCAGTGGTTTCGGGCACTGTTTCGGTCCTAGAATAATGAATGTTGTGGCATGGCTTGGTGCAGGCATAAAGATCTGTCATCGGATCTGGCTTGTAGTTCACCACAGCAAGGAAAGGAGCCCATCCGAGGCAAGTAAGAACCAAACATTCGATGTATCGCGACAAGCCCATTGCGCAAGCGGTGCGGTACAGACTATGGATCTATGGAATGAGAATGAGGAATGCGATGCTCGAAGCAGAGAAACTGTGAGCTATAATTGAGCAGCATTGGCGATGGTGATGAACAGGTGCGTTGTGAACATGATCATCTTCTATGTCATGAAAAATGTCTGAAGCACTCAACACGGGTCAATGGGCAGTTTGACCCCGAAAATCAGATCAGCAACCAACAGCAAGTGTCACACATGGATGCTAAGCCTTTATCCTTTCATCTCATGCCTTTGACATCAGCTTGAAACGCTAAATCATTTAAATCCAAGGAGATTTCAACATGGTCAATCTGTCAATCCAACATGTTCAAGTCATCAGCTCTCCAAAGATACACTCCTAAGGTCCTCAATTCAAACAAGTGGCAGATGGCATCAAGCTCTCATCTCGACAAGCGTTGGCTCACTGAAAAGCACGAGGATGTTCTGGAAATTACTGGAATTACTGGAATCTTTGGGTAGCCGTGGGCTCTATAATGACCTGTTCATGTGGTAATTCTGGCTGTGCTCATATGGTGGGGTCTACGTACCTGGTTGTGGATTTGAAAGTATATGTCAAACAATGGTCTATTCATCACATGTAGGAATTTGACCATGTTTTTTCATTTTATTGGGACGCTGACTGCTTCCTGGTGCCAAAATTCAGGCATTGCAGGGATGCAGGATTGCATTGTGTCAAAGATACTTTGGATTCCTTTGGATGTTAACATCCAGTGAAGAACTAATTAGGCCACCAATCGGCTGTTCCAGACATTTGCGTCCTTGTGCGGATGCTCTAAATGCGCCGGTCTGTCGTCTGTTGCTGCAAGAGTGTCAAAAGCGTTTGTCGGCGCCGCGCTGCCGCACCGGCACTTTTCTTGAAATCCCTAGGGTACTTCTGTGACCCCAACGGAAAAACAAATCAGCAATCTTTGCCATGGGTCCCTAGTATCTCTAGCAACGAAAGAAGAATTCACCAGTGGCATGCATGGCATCTGGCTTAAATCTGGGTTTCACAGATGCAACAACACTCTTGGTATGTCGGACCGACATGACAATCCGTCATGACATTTGTCAGGACCTGAAGAATTGGGAAGAGGCGTCATGAATTATAGTCTAATAGAAAGGGCACCTAGTTTTTTTGACCCCCCACCTTGTTTTTTTGACCCCCCACCTTGTTTTTTTGACCCCCCACCTTGTTTCTTTGACCCCCCACCTTGTCTTTTTGACCTCCCACGTTGTTTTTTTTTTGACCCCCCACCTTGTTCTTTGACCCCTGCAGCATGCACCCTGGTTTTTCCTGTTTTTTCAGGCCCTCATACCTTACAGGGGTTTCCATAAAATGGGACCTTATTCCCAACAGAGAATCTCTTGGGTTTCAATTTCTGGGCCCTGGGACCTTGCTGGAACCTTCCTGGATCCTTGCCGGAACAGCCTTGGAACTTTCCTGGAACCTTCCTGGCATCCTGTTATTTCTGGAACATTGTTAGAACCTTGCGGGAAACTGTAAAGTTGACGCTTTACTGTGGATCATACTGATCCTACTCTGTTCTTTACAAACTGAAGCAGCTCTATTGTGTTTTGCGTTTGCTTTGCATTGCGCTTGTCATTTCGTTGCTGATGAACAAAGACAAGACCCTTACAAGTTTGGGACCTTCCCTGATGCTTGGAACCTTGAACCCTGGAAACCTGGAACCCCAGAACCTTGGTAGTTTAGAACTCTGGAACCTTGGAACTTTCGAACTTTGCAACCACCGAATCTTGGAAACTTGCCACTGTGAAATCTTGGAACTCACAGTTTGGTTGATAGAAGGCTATAAGTTGGTAAATATGGTGGGAGCGAAATAATTTTGAGAAACAAAGGTTATTCTGACGCAGTGCGGGATTTGCTTGCAGGAGCGCTGTGCTCCCCCGGAATGGCCTTTCTTCGTATAATTTTCCGTTTTTGTGCAATAAACATGTTTTTCCTATTATATCCTTGAGCTCCCAAGGCAGGTCAAGACCTAGGCGTTGATACCTGATTTCATTAAAGGTATCGATGAAGGGGGTATAGTACACTACTGTCTATGGTCAAATTATATTATATACAGTGAGTGGCTGTATTTTAATTCTCTTGTTATATTAGTTGTAAGTTCTATGGGTGCATTGGGTTGGCATGCGCTTCGTGACATAGGATGAGATGTACCCCCAATTTTTTTTTAATAAATAATTAGTGGAATGGCTGGCATGCATTTCATGACGTAGGATGAGATGTCCCTCCATAATTTTCTTATAAGTTATTTGTGGAATTTGTCCCTTGAAACCCTTACTTGTTGGTTTTATTGTCCTGCTACGTCCCGCTATACAACCATCAACATTTATTGCAACCCTTCTCCAATTGAAACTTCACAGGTCTCCGACTAACCTTGTCCAATTGCTGTTCCATAGCAACACTTCTCCACCGCAGACCTTCAAAGGTCTCAATCTCCAAACATAGCTGATAGTATCCTTATAAGTTTCACCCCATTTTATATTTATATATATCTCTACACACGTGGCAACACCAGATGACAACAATCATGCAGCCATTCCAATGCGATCTGCAATGACAGATTCAAGAAACGTATAGAACTATGCACACAGGAACAACCACTCGTTGCAGAACACAGAGGAGGAACCGATTGACCTCGAAACGATCCAAACCGCACCCGCCGCACACAGGAGGTACCTTTCATCGCCGGCTGCAGCCACTCTACACGGAAAAACACAAGGTTTCGTGCTCCGGCTTCCTCCCCAAAACAATGCCCATGCAACATCCAAAACAAAGCCCATTGAGCATTCATGCAGCCATTACTATGCGGTTCACAGCCTTCCCTCATCAACACTTCCCTTCGTCACCACTTCCCTTCGTCACGACCCTGTGTCGTAGCCGATTATTCTTTTGTGATGTCTTGTTATGTGATGTCAAGTCTCACACCACCCTGTAGTCACCACTTCCCTTCGTCACCACCCTGTGTCATAGCCTCTTATTCTTTCGTGATGTCTTGTTATGTGATGTCAAGTCTCACACCACCCTGTGTCGTAGCCGATTATTCTTTTGTGATGTATTGTTATGTGATGTCAAGTCTCACACCACCCTGTAGTCACCACTTCCCTTCGTCACCACCCTGTGTCATAGCCTCTTATTCTTTCGTGATGTCTTGTTATGTGATGTCAAGTCTCACACCACCCTGTGTCGTAGCCGATTATTCTTTTGTGATGTATTGTTATGTGATGTCAAGTCTCACACCACCCTGTAGTCACCACTTCCCTTCGTCACCACCCTGTGTCATAGCCTCTTATTCTTTCGTGATGTCTTGTTATGTGATGTCAAGTCTCACACCACCCTGTGTCGTAGCCGATTATTCTTTTGTGATGTATTGTTATGTGATGTCAAGTCTCACACCACCCTGTAGTCACCACTTCCCTTCGTCACCACCCTGTGTCATAGCCTCTTATTCTTTCGTGATGTCTTGTTATGTGATGTCAAGTCTCACACCACCCTGTGTCGTAGCCGATTATTCTTTTGTGATGTATTGTTATGTGATGTCAAGTCTCACACCACCCTGTAGTCACCACTTCCCTTCGTCACCACCCTGTGTCATAGCCTCTTATTCTTTCGTGATGTCTTGTTATGTGATGTCAAGTCTCACACCACCCTGTGTCGTAGCCGATTATTCTTTTGTGATGTATTGTTATGTGATGTCAAGTCTCACACCACCCTGTAGTCACCACTTCCCTTCGTCACCACCCTGTGTCATAGCCTCTTATTCTTTCGTGATGTATTGTTATGTGATGTCAAGTCTCACACCACCCTGTAGTCACCACTTCCCTTCGTCACCACCCTGTGTCATAGCCTCTTATTCTTTTGTGATGTCTTGTTATGTGATGTCAAACTCACGCCACCCTGTGTCATAGCCTATTTCGTTTTGTGATGTATTGTTATGTGATGCAAAAGACACACACACACCACTCTTCATTAATGTCAAGTCTCACAATTCTATAGATATGTCAAATCTCACAATTCTATTGACACATACCACCCTTCATCAAGGTCAAGTCTCACAATTCTATCTGTCCGTAACACGGAAGTATTGCTTCCCAACTTCCTTTGATTATACTGATACTTGTTTTGGTCGTAAGTTGCTACCTTGGTGTTATATGTTCTGCTGGATGTGGTGTTGCGGTTTTCGCTTATGTGGCAATAAACCAAAATGACCTCAAGGAAAATCAAAATCAGGTGAGCATGGTTAAACCCTGAAGATTCAAGATGCGTGGCGTTCCAGAAAGGGTTTCTTTCAAAGTTTTTAAGAGTGCCGTTTAGGGTTTCTTTAGGATGTCATTGAGGGTTTCATTCAAAGTTTCGCTAGGGTTTCATTTAGGGTCTCATGTAAGGGTTTCTTATGAGGAGCTCTTATCAAGATTTCTTTGGGTTTCACCTAGGTTCTTTAGGCTAAAGTAAACGAATTAGGGTTTCATTTAGGGATTCTTTAGGGTTTCTTTTAGGGTTTCTTTAGGGTTTATTTAGGGTTCCTTTAGTGTTTCATTTAGGGTTTCGTTTGCGGGTTCTTCAAGGTTTCAATTTGGGTTCCATTTAGGGTTTCTTTAGGGTTTCTTTTAGGGTTTCTTTAGGGTTTATTTAGGGTTTCTTTAGTGTTTCATTTAGGGTTTCATTCAGAG